GAATCCACCCTGAACTATGCTACATAAACAGTGAATGGAGTCTCCTACCATATCCACCAGGAGACAGGTAGTAAGTGCCTGAGAACACACCAATATACAATTACCAACCAAATATAAATGTTGTTGTTGTTAAGTGCTGTTGAATCGGTTCTAACTCACAGTGACCCTGTATAGGGTTTCTGAGAAGCAGTTGGTGGGTTTGAAACACTACTTTCTGATTCAAATCAAACTTATAGTCTAGTGCCATGGACTGCCAAAAGAACAGACAGATCTGTGTTGGAAGAAGTGCAGCCAGAGTACTCCTTGGAGGCCAGGATGACCAGACTTCGTCTCTCATACTTTGGACATACTGTCAGAAGGGACCAGTCACTAGAGACGGATATCATGTTTGGTAAGGTGGAGGGTCAGAGAAAAAGAAGAAGACCTCCAACAAGACAGATTGGCAAAGTGGCAGCATCAATGGGCTCAAGTGTGGCAACACTTGATACTGGACCAGACAGTATTTCGTTCTGTTGTGCATAGGGGTCACTATGAGTCGGTACAAACTCGATGGCACCTAACAACAAAAGAGGAACAATCAGACAAAAGAACAAAAAAATCCAAAGGAAGCCTATGAATTCTGTGGGATGCCATCAAGAGGAATAGCATGTGTAATAGGAATTCCAGTATAAGAAGAGACAAAAAAAAAAAAAAAAAAAACCCATAGAGAATACTGTCCAAGAATTATTGAAAAAAACTCCTAACATCATGAAAGATGTGGAAATAGCAATTACAGAAGGTGAACAAACTCCAAATAAGATATACCCCAAAAGCAAAACATCAAGACATAATAAAACTTTTGAAAACCAAGACAAGGAAAGAATCCTAAGAGCAATTCAGAAAAACAAAATGCTACCTACAAAGGAAAACTAGTAAAATTATACTCTGATTTTTCAACAGAAATAATGCAGGCAAGAAGACAATGGAATGACATATAAAACTCTGAAAGAAAAAAACTGCCAACCAAGAATATATATCCTGCAAATATGTCTATCAAATATTATGGTGAGATTAGGTCATTTTCAGACAGACAGAAATTGAAAGAATTCATAAAAGCCAAATGAATCTTACAAAAAATATTAAAGAGAGTTCTTTGGACAGAGAACCAACAGCAGACAACAATCTGAGGTTAACATACATGACAATATCACTTAGACTCAATCCAGATATAGAAGTATGTACGACTGAAAAGAGAGAATCAAACATACAGCTACAATAACAACAACAAAAACATAGACTAAAAAGAGGAAATAACATAACTACAGAACTTCCAAATGAAGAGGAAATAAAATAAATTTCAAGAAAATAAACAAATAAAAATAAACTTCACTATAGCGTAGTGGTTACGAATCAGGCCGTGAACCACAAGGTCAGCAGTTCAAAACTACCAGCCGTTTCGCGGGAGAAAGATGAATCTTTCTGCTTCTGTAAAGATTTACAGCCTCAGAAACCCTGCACAGGGTCGCTATGAGTCGGAACCGACTCCACAGCACATAACCACCACCATAACCCTAAAAACTAGGTCAAGTCTTATTTCTAGCCTAAACCTTACTTTTAACAACTTAACCGAGTCCTAACCATAACCGGAACACTAAAGGAAGTCCTAGGGCTAGCCAAGATCTAGCCATGGTTCTAATCCTAACCCTCACTCCTTAAATCCTACCTACCCAACCCCTATCACTCCCCCTCCCAAAACAAGTCAAATCTTTTCAATAATACTATCTGAAATCCTCCAAGAAATTAACATAAGATCTCAGGCAGGCTAGCACATGTAAATTTGCATGTATGCATACATACACACAAGCACAGCAATATTAAATACCAAAATTATAACTGATGTTTCTTCTACAACTGACCCCTGGCTTAAAATGAATGATTTAGAAAACTAATCCTAACAAAAGAGTTTCTATTTTACTATAGTAACAATCAATCAAAAGGTACATTTTAAATAGTTTGCACAATGAAGGTATTTCTGAAGGGATCAACCCAATATTAAAGTTGTTGTTGTTAAGTGCCATTGAGTTATTCCTACCCATAGCGACCTATACAGGGTTTCCAAAGCTGTAAATCTTTACGGGAGCAGAAAGCCTCATCTTTCTCCCGCGGAGATGCTGGTAGTTTTGAACTGCTGACCTTAAGGTTCACAGCCCGATTTGTAACTACTAGTGGTAGAAGTTAATTCACAATCTGATATACAGCTTCAGTATTGTTAGTTTCCTAAATGAGATTTTCTGTCAACAAGAGGAATGTAATCAATACTAAACAAGGAAATGCTGATGTCAATTTAACTAATTTGTATCATTTCTCAATATTTGAGTATTTTAGAAGATGAACAAAACTGACAATGTCATTTCAATGTGGCACTGTGAGTTAATGCACTGGACAGGAAGGTCAGTTTGAACTGAAAGGTCAGCAGTTCAAACTCACCAGTCACTTCTTGGAAATCCTATATAGGGTCACTATGAGTGGGAACCAACACTCAAAGGCACCTAACAGCAGTAACTATGCATAATAGGTCTTATAATGTTGTTAAATGCTGTCAATATTATTTTGTTCTGAAAGTAAACGCCAGTGTTGCTTCATGTATTGGCCTACTGAACGGTAGTTCACTTTCATATTAAATAAACTTAGATGAATTTTTTTAAATGGTCAAGCCATTAAATGAAATGACAGAATGCATTCACTAGGACCATTATACATTTCATTGTTACTGAGCTCACCGTGATCAAGTGTAGCTACTTATGAAAGCAAAGTTAGGTGTAATATTAAATCAGTTTTGAAAACTGTACATAGTAAAATTTGGCAATATAAGTTGATTAAGAAAAAAGGCAATCACTTATTGAGCCTACCAAAATTTTATGTCCTATTGTACTTCACTTTATTGGGAAACTCTAAGCAAGTTACTTACTATCTAGTTCAGTATTCAACTATGTTGTTATTGTTCCTGAGTGCCGTCTAGTTGGTTCCGATCCATAACAACCCTGCAGAGGGCTTCTGAGGAACAGCTGGTGAGCTTGAACTGCCGGCCTTGCAGTTAAAACTGACTTTGCAGTCTAGTGCATTAACCCACAGCACCACACCAGGACTCCAGTTTTCAGCTACATTAATGTTTATTTGAATGGTCTTTTACAGGAATGAATCCTTTAGATAATTTACATTAATCCATTATGCACCAAATGGGATTTATACTTTAATTATTTTTATAGATGTTTTTCTAAAAGGCTCTATTTCCCTGCTTTACTAAACAAAAGGGCTAGAATTTAAGTTAACTCTTTCCTACAGATTTAGTCACAACAAGAACATGAATGATTGTATTGCACAGCAGGACTGCTATACTCTGATCTTATATTTTCTCACCTCTGCTTACTGATGCCAACAGTGTGTGTCCTTGATGTTTCTGATGCCTAGATAGTTACAGCTTCCTATAAAAGGCCTGGATTTTGTGACATCTGGCCACTCTGAGGTCATATGCTCTCCCTCGTTGCCTCCATGGCTGGTTTTCAAATGATTGAAGTTACCCTAAGAAAATTATACCAAAATAGGCTGACACTGGTAAGGGAGTTCTAAAGAGCTGTAACCCAGGTGCCTTTATGTATAAAGAAGCAGAGTTCTATTCTGACACACACGAGGTTGCCACAAGTTAGAACTGACTCCATAGCAACTGGTCTAACTGGCAGGACACGGGAGTTGAAAAACATCATCCCTTAGAGGGCAGCATTAGCTAATTGGTAAGATACTATCTCTACTCCATTTTCCCAAGGAACAGGAGCAACCTGCCCAGTCTAACTTTTTCTGTCTTTTATATGACATCATCCACCCCCAAGTGATCTCATAGCATACCCTGCACATCATGGCCTGCTCAATAGCAATGTTGTCTACTTCTACATGGTGATATAAGAGAGCTGAACTACAGATACAATTGTATTTTAAGAAAATGATTTGTGCTTAGCAGAAATTTATTGAATACATTATATACACATACATATGTAAATGAAACTAGCAATCTGCCCTTATATATGTGAGTGATATTCAGAAGTAGAATACAAAGACATAATCTTCTCTACTTATAAGAACAACATAACAGGACTTCCAAAAAGCCCTGAGAATTCTCAAAATCATCAGACATAAGAGGAGGTTCAAAAAGTTCATGGAAAAATGGAATTGAAAGATAAAAAAGAATTCTTCCACGTACTTTCTGAAGCCCCCTTCGTATCTATAAATCCCAACTACAGACTTAACTAGTTTGTTCTACCCACAAACTACTGAGTGAATCAGAAAAGAAATTCTACAACTTTTATTTTTCACTTTGCTAATTTAGTATTAGTACCAGAATGTAATGGGGGAAAATTCAGCCAAGTAAACCAATGACCTACTTGGCTATATTGAATATATTCTTATGACTCAAATTTTATAGGAACTATTCTAAGACATCAACCATCAATTATTTTCATAACACATAACACAACTTTCCTGACAGCAACAGATCCTTATTGTTCTAAATTAATTTTATCAGGAAAACAAAAAATGTGAAGAGGCATTTGAGTAACAAATAAAAATTTATTATACTTTCAATGATTCTCACTAGAAGAAGAAGCAACAGAAGAAACAAAAGACAATTTAGCTGCTGGGGGGTTTGAACTCCTGACCTTGCAGTTCAAACACCTTTGCAGTCCAGCACATAATCCTGCAGCGCCACACTAGGACTCCAAGGATATGACAGACTGAACTAAAATTATCCAAGATGACAACTTTTGTGGGAAGTGACCACTAAACATTATTGAGGTAGATTCTAGTGGTTTAAAGAATCATGTATGGATTCTTGACTCTTTTGATCTTGGACCAAATAAATGATTCTGTTTTTCAAAACTGGAAATGAGTTGGAACACTATAAAAATGTACTGCTAAAATGCTTCTAAATGTTCAGGTAAGAGTTACACAAAAAGTAAGTACTTGATCCATACCTTGTTTTAATTCCAAACTTTCAGCCTGCTTGTTGTCCCTCTGGGATGAAGCAGAATCTATACCAATGTCTTGTCTGAAAAATGAAAATAAACAATTTTTGAAACTACATTAAATCAAATTATATTTACGGTCCAAGTTTCTAGAATTAAGTTAGGCATCTGTAAAGACAGAGTGAATTCTTCTGAGCCCAAGGGTAGCATTTGCTGCACTCTGGAAACACAGAAGCATGTATACAAGTGACAGAAGCAACAGTTACACCTAATACCAATTTAAATAGCATACTTGATAAAATCCAGAGGCAAATTTGGAAGGAATGTGGAGGTATTTTTTTTCTCCCTTCTTATAACACTGCAGGGTAACTGATGGGAGAAATCACAACTCACAGCAGTATCCAATAATTTTTCAAGTTTGACTGTTAAATTTAGTGGGCTCCTTGGCATTTAAATTAATTTATATTCATCTAATTTCATACCTCAAATGGCTTGATTTCTACAGTCTGTGGGAAATGCATATTTTATATGTAATATACATATGTAATCAAAGTAAATGAATTAAGAATAAAATCATGCAAAAAAATTTTTGATTTAGCATGTTCTGCAACAGAGCAGCAAACTAAACAAAGCTTCTATCTTAGAGAATATAATACCATCTTAATTTTAATGTTACAAATATTTTTAAGCTACCAGAAAAGTCAAGTAAGCAATTAATTTCAGCTATTCAAGAAAGAAAATTGACTATTTTCTATTATGTTTCTGCAATATCTTGAATTACTTGGTATGATTCTTCTATCTAAAGATTTAACTCCCACCCAACGATAGGGTTCTTGTTATTGCTAAGTGTCACTCAATCGGTTCCAACACATAACAACCCTATCGAGGGTTTCTAAGGCTTCAAATCTTCTCGGAAGCAGAAAGACTCATATTTCTCCCGCAGAGTGGCTGGGGGGATCAAACCGAGGACCTTGTGGTTCCCAGTTCAGTGTGCATAATATGGAGTCACCATACCCTAAATGAATGGGTGGGACCAATAAGGTTTACTAAATTCAAATGTTGGAATTAGTTTTGCCATACTGTTCAGGTGTAAAACAAGCCATATAAAAGCAGGAGCATCCCAAGTCCATCAAGAAAGGAGAGCCATGAGTGGAGCATGAGATCACTACCTGGAAAAGTGGCCGTGGCAGAGGTGGCAGCATGGAGACAGAGCAGCTGCAGGCTTCCCAGCTCATGCGCCAAGTCAAATTGAGTATCCACAGGCAGGAGGCTGCCTTGCAGAACAGGCCACTTTGTTCCTTCACAGACAGTGCTAAAGGAGCTTTGTAATACTTGCCTGAGCAGGGCAGGGACCAAGGGACCAAACCACAATGCTGAGAGGCCGAAGCTAAGAGTGAGAAAGGCCTGCAGCACAGCCGAGATGTGTTCCTGACTGCAGGACTACTGAAGCCTGAGTTGTTTCTGATTCTGAATTACACACTGATAACTTCCTTAATAAACCCCATAACTGTATGATGTTGTTGCTCTTGTGGTTGTTAGGTGCCATCGAGTCAGTACTGACTCATAGAGACCCTATGGACAACAAAATGAAACACTGCCTGGTCCTGGGCCACCTCACAATTATTGCCACGCTTGAGCCCATTGATGCTGTCATATTGCCAATGCATCTCGCTGGGGGTCTTCCTCTTTTTCTCTGACCCTCCACCTTACCAAACATGATATCCTTCTCCAGCGACTAGTCCCTCCTGACAATATGTCTGAAGAATGAGAGACGAAGTTTGGCCATCCTGGCCTCCAAGGAGCATTCTGGCTGCACTTCTTCAAACACAGATCTGTTGGTTCTTTTGACAGCCCATGGCACTTACAATATTCTCCTCGAACACCATAACTCAAAAGCATCAATTCTTCTATGATCTTCCTAATTCACTGTCCAATTTTCACATGCATATGAGGTTATTGAAAATGCCATGTCTTAGGTGAGGCGTACCTTAGTCCTCAAGCTGATATCTTTGCTCTTCAACACTTTAAAAAGGTCTTGTGCAGCAGATTTGCCTAATGCAATGCTTTGTTTGATTTCTTGACTGCTGCTTCCATGAGTGTTGATGGTTGATCCAAGAAGAATGAAGTCCTTGACAACTGCAATCTTTTCTCCATTGATAGACTGTTGTTTTTAAGTTCAGTGGTGAAGATTTTTGTTTTCTTTACATTGAGATACAATTCATACCAAAGGCTACGGTCTTTGATCTTCATGAGTATTTTAAGTCCACTTCACTTTCAGAAAACAAGGTTGTGTCATCTGCATATCACAGGTTGTTAATGAGTCTTCTCCTCCAATATTGATGCTACATTTTTCTTCACATAACTCAGCTTCTCGAATTATTTGCTCAGCACACCTTCATTAATTTTTAAACATTCAGTGTTCCCATATTCTGTTCAAACAACTACCTCTTGGTCCAGGTACAGATTCCTAATGAGCACAATTGAGTGTTCAGGAATACTCACACTTCATAATGTTGTCCATAACGTCTCATGATCTACACAATCAAAAGCCTTTGCACAGTCAATGAAGCACAGGTAAACATCTTTCTGGTATTCTCTACTTTCAGTCAAGATCCATCAGACATCAGCAATGATATCCCTCATTCCATGGCCTCTTCTGAATCCAGCTTGAATCTCTGGAACTTCTCTGTCAGTGTATGCTTGCATCCATTTCTGTAATACCTTTAGTAAAACTTTACTTGCATGGGAAATCAAAGACATTGTCTACTGATTTCTGCATTCTGTTGGGTCACCTCTCTTTGGAATGGGCACAAATGTGGATCTCTTCCAATCAGTTGGCCAGATGGTTGTCTTCCAAATTTCTTGGCACAGATGAGTAAGTGCCTACTGTGCCAACTCCTTTCTTGAAAGATTTCAATTTTTATTTGATCAATTCCTGGAGCCTTGTTCTTTGTCAATTCCTTCTCCTGCTTACACAACTTCAAAAGCATTTAGTTCATCTAAACACAAACATCTGAAATTACTACGAAATTACTTCAACAAAAACATAATGTAACATCACCAATAGAAAACACATGGACATATGTAATACCCTAAGAAGGCCATATGACTTACATAATATTCTAGCTGAAAATGTATCATTTATGTTTAAGGAAACGTCAAACAAATTCAAAAGAAAATAAGAAAAGTTCTATTAAGAAGGGAGGGAGGTTTTGGTTTTTGTTTTACAATGTCAATGTTATAAAAGGCAAATTTTGTGGAAATATTCCAGGTTAAAGGAGGCTAAGAAGACATGACAATTAAATATAAAAACACACCTTTGAGTGCTGAACTAGAGGGGGAAATTGTTATAAAGAATATTATTGAATCAAATGACAAATTGAAATATAGATGATAGACTAACATTAAATTTATTGACTTTGATAACTTCATTGTAATAGAAGACTGCTATTTTTAAGAAAAACACAATGTAATTAATATTCAGGCATTAAATGTCAAGCTGTATGTTGCTTATAATCGGGATTGAGAAAAAAAAAATCCAAACACACATGTATGAACAGTGCATATGTGAGTATGATAAAATGTTAGTTGTTGTTATGTGCCATGGAGTCGGTTCAAAATGTTAGTAGGTAAATGCAAATAACGGGTATATGTATTCTTTCTGCTATTCTTATTCTTGATGAGTTTGAAATTATCTCTAGATAAAAAAAAAATTTACTTAATAATAATGTAGTAAAATAAACTTCTCTGTGAAAGAAAGCCTCTGAAGCCCCTTCAACTAGAGCCTTATATAATGACTACCAGTTGTCAAAAATTTATGGTCAACGCGAATTTATATAACATTCCATTTTATCCCAAGTTGAATTTTGCTTAAACTATCGAAGAAAGTCACCAAATAGAATTTTAGACATTCAGTAGGTACAGGACACCACCTTGTGGCTGAAAAGTAAACAGTTAAATGTTTTTATATCAGTGTTACCAGAAATTGAAAAAAAAAATCCCAAAAATAGTTTAAACTTTTTCCAAGATACAGACTCTACAGATAAAGTTATCAAATGTATTCATAGTACTTTGATACCATTTAAAGCTCTCCATTAGTACCATGAAATGTAACATACTAGCAAAAAGGGGAAATGTCTTTAAGCTTAAGAAAATTAGAGAATATACATATATTTTTATTTCTAGTTTTATAAAACACACATACACCCCCAGGAAACAACAGTTTAGGAAGGTGCCAGAGTTTAAGTAAACTACAATTTATACTCAAATGACATTGAAACATTTGTATCAACATTTTAAAACTATGTAAGAGTTTTAAAACAACACAAGAGGTGAGGAGAGGGAGACAAGGAAAAGTGTACAGAGGGTGTGGAGAAGAGGGAGATGGAGACACAGGGAGAGAGAGGAAAGCACACTGTGCCAAAGTTGGTTTGGGTTAAGAATCTTTTGACAAGCTGAGTGTGCCTTTTCAATGGGGGGGGGGGGGAAGCTTCCTTTTATTTCCTGTTTTCCTTCCCCATTTGCAGTGCTCTATCGTCTTTAAAAGAAGCTTGGCCCGATGAGAACAAGATGGTGGATAGGGTGGAAGTGCAGTGAAGACCACCATCAGCAACAATACAGAATACCAGACCAAGCAGGCTCAGTGGATGCTCCCAGAACTCTGAAGCACATATAAGAGAATATTTAGAAGGTCAGAAGGCTGACAGCTAAGGGAATTTGTACCAGAAGCAAGAAATCCAGTGCTTTCTAATTCAAGATGCTCAGCTGCTCCCGGAGCCGCCATCTTGGGTGAGACAAAGCAGGGGAAGGATCAGAGCAGCCATTGATGCCTGGCAGAACCATGGAGTTAAAGGTGTGGACATTCTTTTGTTTTTGTATCTGTTCATTAAGGAGCTCTGGTAGCGAAGTGGTTACTAATCGGGCTGCTAACCTCAAGGTCGGCAATTCGAAACTACCAGCAGTTCCACAGGAGAAAGATGAGGTGTTCTGCTCCTGTAAAGATTTACAGCCTCGGAAACCCTGTGCAGGGTCACTATGAGTCGGAACCGACTCTATGGTACTTAATAACAAAAACATCTGTTCA